CGTCGTCTAGACAGTACAAAAAGAGGTTTGGAGGTAGGTCCTGGGGGGGGGTAGCATATATATATATATACATGTGTAGTCTTATCTACCTATTCATTGTTCTATTTATTTACTTCTTTATTCATTATACTATAATGCGTTCTATATGACATATGAGTCAAGAGCCCAAAAACACGAAACGACCCGGGACGTCTCGAACACGCAGGCCTTCTGCTCGTTGATGCCGCAGCAAGGCCTCCCAGGCTTGGGTTTAGGGTTTATGGTTTAGTATTGTATGATTGTCGAGGTTTTGAGGGACCAAAAATGAAGCCTTCTAGGCTCCTGGCATCACCCAGTGCATCAAGGTGCACATCCACTGCGGATATTGCTGGGGCTTCACCTCGATGCGACCGTAACCTCAGAGTCTCGGAGCCAGCAGCTTCGGCGAAGCAGATCGACAGCTTCTCCCCTGGGCCCTAGGCACCAGGCGATAGGCACAGTCGCACTCGAAGAAGACCATCCACGCTGTCTTTCGTGGGATAGGCCCATTGGGACCCGCTGGCTGTATCCATTCGGCACCTTGCAGTGCCTTCTCGAAGAAGCTGGCACAGACTTCTTTGCCTGACAGATCCAACGACCATGAAAGACCACATCTCTGCCAGTAATCGGCTGCGACTCCTGCCCACCTAGAGTCCGAGGCAGGAATCCAACGAAGCAACGACGCGTCTCGTCCTTCAGCACCTGCGCACGCAAGCATGCCGTCACTGGATGCTTTGACGTCTTGGGCCGAGACGTATTGCCAAGGCAGCGTCCTGAGGTCACGACCAGCTTGGCCACTAAACTGCGGCACGCAGACACGTCTGCATCTCATGCGATTCTACAGCCTCTGCTTGAAAGTGCTCAATCCGAACGACACTTGCTTGCACGGAAGATATCATCTCCGCAGAATCCCTTTCATCCTAAGCCTCAACCCTAAACCCAAATCCCAAAATGCTGCTTCCTCTTAGTTCGGTCACCGGCGTACTGCGGCCAAAGCTCGGAGGAGCTTCCTCGCCGATGAGTCTTAGACCGGTCTTGGAACGGGGCTCCTGGCTCGTACAATATCGGAAAGCGCGCCGATAACCACATGACATTTTGTAACAACAAGAATGGCTCTTATTGTCATGATCAAAATGATGATGAGAGTAGCTTATGATCACAAGTTACAATCAATTTCAAAGCAACTAGCAGTTTCAGCAACTGCTACTGCAGGATCTTTGTGCGATGCGTGCTCCGCCTCCGTGAGGTCCAGATCTGGCCCTGCGCAGGGATCCATCCGACTGCAAAAGGCACAAACTCGGCGTGTTAAGGTATGCCATAGTATACGATGATAATCGACATAAAAACATGATATACGAAAATATATCATGCGACGTTGTTTTTTTGACGTGTGTTGTGTATATATACATATATATATATATATGTATTATATGTATATGCATACATATACGTGTTATACTCAAGAACGCTTCTCCTGCCTGGAGCGCTCTTTGGCGTCTGCACCTCCTCCTTCTGCTCCTGCAGCCATTCCATGCAGATGGGTCAGACACATGCACCTATTGATGAAGGCCTTGCTCCGAACACCCTTTTTCCCCGTCAAGGACTGGAACCTAACGTCGCGCTGCTGCTCATACTGTAAGTGCAAGCAAGGACCGCTGAGGGCTCAGAGCAATAAGAAAAAAGCATGTCAACAGTGTGAATTAACGCAACGATGAGGGTATGGAATGGTTCCAGGAGATGCCAGCTGAAAGCTGTGAACTTGGAAGGCTTGAGTCAGTTTCAGCTTCAATATTATGTTCTGCAGTTTCAGGATTTAGGGATCCTTAGTGCTAAACGTTAAGAAGTTAAGAGTGTTCTGGGCGGTTTAAGTTCTGGTTCAAGGTTGGCACAAAAGGCTCGAAAGAGAGATCAAGCCCAAAACAGCCTATCGCTATCGGCTATCGTCGACGACGGAAAAGGGACGACTAAACAGCCCCATCTCGCATGGAGTTGGCTCTCTACTGTCCACGGAGAGCTGCACGCCATTGCCTTTGTCAGAACTCGGGCGGTGCGTAACAAGACATTCATTCAGCTCCAACAGCAGTGAGACGTGTTCTTGTTGCAACACAGACGGGCGGTGCGTAACAAGACATTCAGTTTCAACGGCAGTGACACGTGTTGCTTGTTGCAACACAGATCGCTTGGAATGCTGACCCCGCTACTTGGGGACCCACTTGTTCCAGCCCCCAGCCGCCCCGTCCGTGCCACTTGCACCAGGTCTGTTGGGACCCTGCTGACGTGTTGGTCTTCGAGCTCTTTGAGCTCTGGTTTTGCTTGCTAGGCTTTGGCCGGCCTAGATCGCTTGCAAGCTCAGAAGCATTCTGATGTCGAAGCTGCAACAGCTTCCGGAAGGTGCGTCCAAGCAAGACATCAAATGCTTGCGGCTGAAGGTAACCCCGGCGTTGCTGTACACTTTGGTCTCAACGTCGGGCTGTGCCTGTGTAGCTGCGGTCTTCTGGGCCACAAGCTGTTTCAGTTCCCCCAGCTCCTGTTGGAGCTTGGAAATCTTCTCCTCTTGCACTTCGGACTCATGCTGCAGAGCCTGGATCTGAGCTGTTTGCTCAGTCTGACTCTGCACCATCGACACACAGACCTCCTTCAGGTCGTCAAAGGCTTTTCGTATGGCGTCAACCGAGATAGTCCCGCCGTAAATCGCAGCAATCTCAACTATGCGTGAGTTGATGCCTGCCTTCGGCAGTGTAAGGTCGTGCGGGCAGAAATGCAGGCTCAGGAAAGGAAGGAATCTGATCAGCCGCAAACCAAGTCGAGCTCTGAATTGCGATGGAGAAAGAAAGAGAGAGAGAGAGAGAGAGAGAGAGAGACGGCGCGTCCTTGGCCGGTGCCGGTGCGTCACCGTCCCAGCCGTGGCTGCGGCTCGTCTGGCCTGCCTGAGCTACAGAGGCTACGCCTACGCCAGCAAGCGAAGCACAGGCTGCGCTCAAAAGCCTCCGGTAGCTCGAGGGAGCCCGCGATCAGGGCATCCAGGGCGGTCATCTCCTTCGGTGGCACTCGAAATCTGCTACACTCACCACCCACATGGCTACTGTCCATTGTGGCTGTTTCTGAGTGTTGGACATTTGGATCCGCAGCCGCCGCGCCGCTGACAGTGTCCTGTCGGGACGGGATTGTCAGCAGTTTTGACACACTAAAGCCTTCTCCGTTGACAGAAGCCAGTCCTTTGTGTCAGAGGCCGGCAGCACCTCCGAAACATAGACTGCACGTATGTACCTACATACATACATACATACATACATACATACATACATACATACCTGTATGCATTCGTGTATTTAGTAAGAACATGCATGTACATATAAATGGATATACACATATAAATATGTGAATTGTATCTATCTATTTTCATGTGTACGTATATGCACATGTACGTACCTTGCGTTTATCTTTACACTACCTATGCAGTGCGCCCACAGCCTGATCCTTGGAGGCAGCCTGATCATTGGAGGCAGCGGTGCCTTCCTCGGGACTCAAGGCATCGACCTTTCACTATCCCAAAATGGGCTGTTCTCTAAAGAACCCCTCACCACCACGAGCTCTCATGCAACTCATGTCTGTAGTGCATCGGACCAAGCTGTGAAGTTTGGTTCCATGGTCCGCAAGTTCGCTTGAAACGAATCGCAACAAATCTAAACGGAAGAATGAGCGAGACCGACACTCTTCTCTTGGCCGAGCAACAGCAACGCCGCCACGGCTGCTGCTGCTGCTGCTTTCTTCCCGCTTCCGCTTCTTTTTCTTCTTCTTGCCCCTGCAGGAGATGACAGCATGCCGGGAAGCCTACAATGCCGATGATTGAACCATGAAGAGCCGAGGGCTCAAATAGCAAAAGCCCTGCCTGTGGGCAGAAGGCATGAAGGCTGCCCACCTGAAGCTCCACCAGATTTCATGGCATGCTGTGGCCTCTGACCTTCCCAGCATCTGTGTCTGTTTCTTGCCAAAAAACTGCGGCGGCAGCAGGAACGGTGGGAAGGGCGGCAAGATCCCGGTCCTCGGCTGTGAACTCTGTCGGACTGGAGGGCACTCTGACATTCGCTGTTCGGATATATACTGCACACTGCCTTTTTTCGTCTCCCTTCCCTTCCTCTGAGCATACGATGTCCAAAACGAGCCACAAGGCTGCCATGCGCTGATCTACGATCTGCCTCTGGCATTGCAGAGCCACGGGGCTGGGAGTGAGAAGAATAAGAACAAGGAGACCGGCATTAGATGCAGTACGGCGGCTTCGCCTACTCTGCAGTCATGACCGGTCTCAAGACCAGAAAGGATCATCCTCGTCTTCCTCGTAAAGATCATCATCGTCGTCGAATGGCTCGTACTCAGAAGGTGGGATTTCTGCATCGTCTGCCCTCCTTGGGGTGATGTCGTTTGGATCTTTGAGCCCCTTCGTCACCCTGAGATTGCCGAAGCCTTCTTCTCTAAGTACTTCCTGCAGGGGGACCTTCTCGTAATCCTCGTTGTCATCCCTCCAAATGCTCTCAATATCATAATAGGATCGCTGCACCGGGGTCATGATGTTGATAGTCATACGGGGATACACCATGCAGCACCATCCGTTGGCCGCCTCGTCCCGGATGGTCTGCCCCGGCCACTGGCTTTTTCGGCGCTTCATTCGTAACTCGTGTCGCATCTTGTTCTCGATCTCTCCGGCGATGGCTTGCAGCTGCGGGCGGGACAGGGCCGTGATCATCACGATCATCTCAAAGCCCTCCTTCACCCAAAAAGCGCTGATGTCCACACCACGCTTCTTGTCCGCGGCCTGGACCACAGTGATCAGGGCCTCTAGAACGGGATCCTTCTCCTCCAACTCGATCAGCGGCGAGGGCGGCTCCGGCAGCACACCGTACTGGCCGTCCACGCGCGCCCTGCGAGCCAGGCTTCTCTCGGAGGGCACCCCTTTTCGCACACGGCCCTCGGAGAGGCCCTTGACGAAACCTCGGTCTGGAGCCTGCTCTTGGAGCCCTGCATGACCCAGCAAGGTCGCCAGTCCCAAGGCCAACGCTGCGACCACCCGTCGGCCCAGACCGGGCAACCTCTGCCCACTTTGCGCAGCCATGGCTTGGTGTGGCCTTCTGTCTCTAAACAGAACTCATACAGTACTCATATGTGTTGCACTTCTTCCGTTTTACAATGCTTGCAAGTCCATCCTGCAGAACTGGAAGGAAACACATGTGAAGACAACATCTCTGGAACCACTGATGCGGCAACGTTTCTACAAGTATGTCATCATGGGATCCCTTGATCGCAATGCCTTGTTTAAGCTCAGCGTCACAGCTGCCAGGGGTGGCACCACAAGACCTTAGCATGGCATGTATGTGGCAAAAAAGGTCCAGCGCGACGAACTTGCCGGACAACCCGCTAGTGCAGTGGGGCGGCCCTGTGGGTGCAAACGCCGGGATCCGGCCCGGGCGCTTGCCGAGCTGGCCGAGCCGGAGCCATGCTTTCGCTTCCGCTTCTTCTTCCCCTCCTACAAGACTCAGCTGGTGGTTTCTAAAAACTCGAAGTGTTTTTCCAAGTTCTGACAATATCTGGAATCCGGTTCGGAGGGGCTGCTCAGTCTCCGAAAACTCCCAAGCTCCCCTGGGACGAACACAGGGCTCCTTTTCGCGGTGCTTGCCCATGACCACAGAGGTGCCATGCCGACGGCTGGCATGGGCTCAGGCTCACAGGCTGCTCTCTACTTCTTCCATCGCTGCTTGCTTGGGGGGTTCAGGGGGCTCTTCAGGCATCTTCGGGCCTTCTTGCTGCAGGGTTCAGTGAAGTTAATTGTGGATTCCGCTGCCTCCGGCAAGACGCAGATTGGTCACATGGTGCCCTGATCGGGGATGCAGACCATGGGGAGATGATCGGAAGATCCTCCCTCTCAGCTGCGGCAGGGCAATGACAGGCGTGCGTGCGTTCCGGACCTTGCGACTCTCCGCGAAGCCCTGGCTGAGACTCCCGCACTCGCTGATTTTCGCGCATCTCCCTCCGCATCAGGTCAAGGTCTTCCTGGGATGCAGAGAGGCAGAAACTAAAGGGGATCGAGTCCAGGGTAGCCTAGGGCCTAGGGTTCTACAGGGCTCAGATCTGGGATCCACGCCTTGCTCTTGAAGGCGATCTGGGAGGATTGGCCACTCTCGTGGCTGGGGCTTGCATCCCTCGGTCGGAGGCTCAGGGAGAAAGCTCAAAGACAAAGGAGCCGAGGCTCCCGACGGAACACACTGCAGCTCGCCCTCCGGTGTTGACTTGACACCTTTGAAGTGCGCAGCCAAGGTCCGCAAGATACATGACATGCCCCGCAGTGGTGAGGCTCCTGAAAACACTGCAGGACAAGGATTCCCCCACCACAGCGTCACCAGAGTCACCAGAGCCACTAGAGCCTAGGGTGCCTCTGAAATACTGTCTGGTGTTGGACTGGGGAGATGCTCCCGAGCATCTGACTCTGGCGGCTCCTGACGCTGAAGGCTAGCGGCTGGCGGCTACCGCGCGGCGACTGCGTGCAGCTGCCCACTTGCGCCTCTGCTCGTCCCGTTCTCGCAGCCTTTGAAGCGCGGCCTCCCCAAACAAAAAGGCTCCGGCCCTACGTGAGGCGCCCAAGCAGCGACAAAAAGCGCTGGGCCTGTTGCGCTTCGAAGGCTCGGTGCAGCTGATGTGGATCCTTATACAGTTCCACGAACTGCAAAAGAGAGCTGATGGGTTTAGGGTTTAGGGTTTAGGGTTCTAATCTGCCGCCTGGGCAACGCCCCTGGCCCGGCGGTCATAGTCCTCCACAGAGCCGTAAGCATCCGCTTCTACACTGAGGCACGCAGGCAGAACCCTCGCCTCGCGGAAACGCGCAAGGCAGGCCGCGACGGCCATGAAGCCCCAACAGATGCAGACGCTCTTTCTTGTGGGTGGGATCCGAGGCTCCGAGGATATCTCCATGTCAGGACCTTGTTGGGCTCTTCCTTGGGGTATGGTGCGGCATCCCATCTATGAGTCTGTCGGGGAAGACTTTTGGACCTGGCCCTGTCATGCAGTCTATGAGTCTGTACTATGCTGGCTGTTGCCGTCCAGACGGCATGAAGCTTTGTGGATTACTGATGCTGCATGATGCTGCTTTAACGAGAAAGCAGAAGACGCGATCTCGTGGTCACACATCATCAAGAACGTGATTGGAAGTAATTTAACAATGAAACGCTTTTTCGGATCGGGCAGGCTTGTCCAGACCTGTCGAAGCTTCAGGCCTCGCGTCACGGGTCACAAGGCCATAGCGACGATCATGGACTTGTACGATAACTCCGAAAGAAACACGTTCGGGAAGGCACATGCGAGGCAAATTGAGACCGAGAAGTTTGGCTTCTGTGGGTTTTGTGCAGATCTTTGGCCACCACAGGCAGGCATGGAACAGGCAAGGGAACATAGCAGAAAGGCTAGAACGGACACCAGACAGGACAACGGCACAAAGAATAAACCGACACGTCCCTCGAGCAGAGGCGGACCCCGAGGCCTCCTGCACCGACCGCTTCTCGGGCCGCAGACCTGGGCCCCAGGGCGCATCCGTTCCGCTGCGGCGCTGCTCCCAGTGGCCTCGGCTCGCGTGTGCTGAAGAGCTGAAGGAAACCCAGGCAAACCCTTGAAAGCTCCCGGGCCGGGGTCCACGCTCTGTGCCTCCGCCCGCACCTCCTCGGTGGTCAGCGCGTCGAGCGCGGCCACCTCGTCGGCGGCAAGGGAGAAGTCGAAAACGTCGACCTCGGCTTTCGGGCTCGGAAATGCAAAGAGGGCAGTGGACCACCTCCAAGTCCCAGGCATTCTCCTCAATCCGGGAGGGTGTGAGGCTCTTGAAAACAATGGCATTGCCTCCCACAAAAGCCAAAGCAAGGGGCAAAGGCATCCCGGCTCCCGATCACGACGTCCGACACTGCTGCGGCTTTTCATGGATGTGGGGCAGGCGCCTTTCTCGAGGTTCCAGCGCAGGCAGACCTGAGCCGGGCTGCGGCCGCAGCGCTCGGCGATGGTTTTGACGGTGTCGCAGCTCAGCACCGGCCCTGAAGGGGAGAAGTGTATCGGTCATTTTTGACGAGCTTGATACTGGCGACAATTGGCTGCACAGAGGAAAGAGACATCATGACGGTCGCGTCTAGAGAGACTGGACCATTGCAGGTCCTCCTCGCTGCAGTGGCTTGTAGGCCTCACAAAGCCAGCGAGCACGTCGGGCTGAGGCAGGCGGTGGGGCCCCTGAAGGCATGGCCTGGACCGCCACACCTTGGTCCTGAAAGAAGTCGCACCACTCCTTGCGATAGAGCAGGGGATTGTTCTCGAAGGTGTTGACGAGCCTGAGTCGCAAACCCAAACAAGAATTCGTCACAAGAAAGACTGGCAATGCAGCTACTAATCCGAGCCGAGGTGCGGTGCGAGCGATGCGGACTTCATGAGCTCTTGGTAGTCTGCAGGGGAGTAGTTTGAGATGCCTGTGCAGGGTGTCACTACTCTCATTGCGCAGACCCCAAAAAGACATGCTTGCATCTTCACGCAGGCAAGAAAAAAACGCCTAATGCTTTCGCTTTCCCACTCCGCACCAACTCCTGCAGGAGACAACAGCACCCTCCCCTCCAAACTCGGCCAAAGCATCCTCCAGAGCCAGGTAGGCAGCAACGTGCTTGCCGGGCATGGGCCAGTGCACCATCACCTCAGGTATGCAGTGCTCCTGCACCCCAAAGTCCATGCGAAAAATAGTAGTTAATGGTCTCCGCTGACTCTCCCGGGTTCCAGGCAAGGTCCACTGCCCCGAGACCCAACTCGTCGATGGAGATCTCCTGAGCTCATCAAAGCTGAGAAAATGCTAAAAACCCAAGCAGAACCCTCCTCCGAAGGCTGCCAATTGACCCAAGCTGAAATGCCCACGAAGGGTCAGCACTGCGAAGAGCGGACGCAGGATCCCCGAGGTCAGTTGTCCAAACCTGACCGCGGCAACTTTGCAACTGAGATTTTGACAAGCACGGGTGTTTTATGTAGCGCAGATCCAGGAGCAGTATGGACGTCTTCACGCCTTCGTCGTGATGAAAAGCTCGGACCTGCTGTGGCCTGCCAAGTACTTTGCACACCCTAACACAGGCAAAAGAGAACACGTGTTTCAAGCTTAAGTCCTCATGGGCACGCCAAAGCATGTGCGACAACGGGATGAAACCAAACCCTCGCAGCCTTCTTTGAGCCACTGGCGCAGCGCTTCACCGCATTCCGCCTAGCGCTGCCGGCCAGCTCTAAAAGCAAATTCGCAAAGACTTGAAGACCGGCCTCATTGTTGTAGAAGGAGGCGAAATCAAAGTGACGCAAGCCTGCCTTCAAGCCCGCGTCGATGACAACCTTCCATGGCCAAAGTGAAGGCTGAGCCGAAAATGTCCGACTGCCTGCTGCATAAGACATGTACGGTCCGTCAACGTGCAAATCATGGCCTTCACCTGATCTCGGGGGACGTTGTAAAGCCCCAACGCCAATTTTTGCATCGGTGCACCATTTGCCAAGGACACAGTTGGAATGAGTGCCTTGCCATGTCGAGACTATCGACGAAGCTTCAATCAGAACAACCACTGATTCTGAAGCATGTGTATTGCGAGCCTTGCTTGCTCCCAGCCTCAGAAAGCCCAACTTGCAGGAATGTTTTCTCTGGCTTCCACGTGACACCGCAGCACTGGCTCGAGACCCCGACATTGCGATAAGAAAGGTCAAACCCTGCCAGCACCTTAGCAGCAAACGAAGGAACATTCTTGTCAACCATGCTAGTGTGTGGGATGGACGAAAGGGAATCGATCAACTTTGATATGTGTACTGAATCTGCTGTCGCGAGAATATTGGCAACCAGCTCCACATGTAGCTAAGAGTGCTCAGTTCTTCACCAAACAAGCAGCCAACCACAAAGCATTGGTGTCCGGCCTGCAGAGTGTTCGCCTGCACGCGGATTGTAAAGAAACAAGTTCCATGTCATCCACAATGAAGCTGCACGCCCTGCCCCCAAGAAGAAGCTGCACGCCGCCTCTTTCGAACCATTTGTGCGACGGGTCTGACTTCCAACTTACAAACCCATGTACATACATTGAATCGCTTGGTCCGCTTAGCAATGTCTATATGGCCAACATTCAGCTGACCTGTCTCAATTTAAGGATTTGCTTCCGACTTGCCAGCAAAAAACTACCAGTAGGCAAACGTTGAATCAGATTTATTTTTTCGGGTGGACTGTTGCAAACATGTGCCAAGCGGGCAATGGTCAAAATACAATATCCTGGGCAATCGAAACTCTCGAAACTAATACATAAATTTCAAAACAGCCAAATACAACCCATCCACCATCCACACATATCCGCACCATCCACCCATCCACCCACCCTCCATCCACACCTCTCTATCCATCTATCCCTGTCTTTTTTCATCCACCCACCCACCACGCATCTATCCATCCACCATGGTCCATGCATCCATCCATCCATGCATCCATCCACCCAGTATACTCTGCGAAGCTCACTGGCTTAACTTAAATGCAATGCCAAGTATGACGTTTTCTGCAAACTATCGACAAAACAATCTGCATCCATAAAAACCGTCCGACTGTCAACAACAGTTGTGCTGTGGCAGCAGCAGTAGTAGTAGTAGTAGTAGTACTAATAGTGGTAGCAATAATCAAAACACTAGGACTAGGAGTAGTAGTAGTACAAGTGGTAGTGGTAGTAGTAGTAGTAGTAGTAGTAGTAGTAGTAGTAGTATTTGTAGTAGTAGTAGTACTCACTCACTCGGTGCGCCGAATCGTCCAAGATCCGCAGCGAGGACAGGCACGCACGGCCCGGCGAATGTGCATCGCACCACCCATTGGTGGCTCCTAGAACAAATCTATACACTCATAGCCGCAGTGGAAAACATTCAGTCCATTCCATCAAGA